ATGTAATGTAACATATAATCAAGAGAATTCAGAAATTCGTCCACCATTTGTTAATTATGGTGGACGTTATGATGATAAACAACATGGAGAAAAACGAACATATAATTCATTAGCTGTTCATGTATGATAAATAAATAAAAAAGATTTTTTTATGATTAGTAGTTAATTGATTTTCTTTTTTTTTTTCTTTTTTGTTAAACAGCAACTTAAACATCATAAAGCTGAAGAACAACGTTTAGCAGATTTACTTCGTGAACGACGTCTTCGTCTTCAAGCAAAAATGTATTTTCGTGAAATGGAAGAACGAAAAGCTCGTGCACAAGAATTACGTGATCGTGCAGCACGTGCTTCAACTGAATATCGAGATAATTATCGACCACCATATGATTATAATGGTGAAGGAACATTTTCTCGACATTAAATTTGCTAACTTATATTTCCTAATGATAGTTTGAACCAAAGAAAATTCTATTTGTTCAAAAAATTTTGAATTGTTTTAGAATATCCTACTTATTTCCAGATAGTTATCACATTTATATTGAATTATTTGTATTTAAATAAAACACTTTTAGATGCTATATAAAAGAAATTCGAAAAATCAGAAAATATTTTTGAATTGTAAAATAACAATTCACTAAAAATATTTCGCGATTTAAGATTATGTCTATTAGTACCTTAGCAAATATGATGGACATTAGTAAGATATAAATATTGCTATCTTTTACTATTGAATTCTGAAAAGTCGTTTTATCGTTGACAATACAAGTTTTTTGTATTTTCAGTTTTTAATTAAAAGATTGATTTTAACAATTTATTTGAACAGTTCACAATTTGATAAATAGTAAATAATTTTCTTACAATAAGATATTCGAAAAGTTTTATCTTTTTCTAGACTACTATTCTACAATCTTTCCATAGTGCATAATTCTGCAATTATATACAATAATTTATCATTGAATATAATCCTGATGTAGAATTATTTGAATTTTTTTAAAATTTTACATAATATTATTTATCGAATTTTCGATTGATTTATATTAATTCTTGACATAGTCTTCATTATATATTCTATTTCGATGATACTTTGATTGTTGTTTATTTTTTTCTTTCGAACAATTTTAGTTTCGTCTTAAAATTGATAAAATTAGTCGTTAAAGAACTCCTGTAGGAATTTATATAAAATAATATTAAGAATCAAACTTATCAGAAATTGTCTTCAATAAGTCAATGATAATGCTTATATTAATTCAAAGTTGATAGCTAATGCTACTAATCTTTAAGTTTCAAATGATCTAAGATTATTCAGTAAGCGGTATCATAACTCAGATTAGTTTGCTCCTACATTTCTTCTATTGTAATATGAGAATCATTATTAATAAGACTACGAAGTTCGATTTCTTCACCCTCTTGATGAAATCATTTCGACCATCTTTCAACTGTTCGAAGAGAAGGAGCTTCATCACCCAAAACAGAATATAGTTCATCATGCATAATTCTTACTTGAATATTAAGTGCAGTATGCACTTTAATGTACAAGCAAAAATTTTTCCTATGTATTTTATACGAAGATGAAGAATATTAAGGTTCAATCTAACTTTATTTCTTTAACTTTCTTTAGAATACACTAATAAACTAAACGTACATTAAAAAAAAATCAAATGGGACACCTGTCTTTATATATATAATATATGTATCTGTATCTAGACGATTAGGCATTCGTGGGGATGAAAAGAACAAAAAAAAAGGAGACGAGAAGAGTAAAACGAGAATACACATCACAGACAATATGATCTAATATCATCGTCACATATCATAAGAAACAGTTCTTATTGAAATTTTATTATTATGATATTAGTTAAAGAATAATTAAATACCATAGAAAAAAATAGACCATTGTTTTTACGATCACTGCATATCAAGATAAACTTTTCTTAAGCCTTCTATCAGGAAATATAATACCTCAACCACCACTATTGCATAGCCCTATGTAACTATTTTAGATTTTTTTCAGAAAATCCACTGTCTATACAGATAATCCTCTAAGGCAAAGTGATTAGCCCAATTCATATAACAATCAGAATATTTGCCGTACGATCAAAAAAATGCTCATTTCAAGATGAAAGCCTTGTGATCAAAGGTAAATATAAATTAGTGCAGATATGCATATGAGAGAATGACTAAGTCGCTTTTGTTTTATTCAAATAATGAATGAGAGTATGCAGTACGAATAAACAATGGATCAACACAGGATAGAAAAGAAGAGAAAAAGATAATTAACATATGCACACATATATATGTGTG